TGAGTCTCAGGAAAACAAGTCTCATTTGTGACTATTAGAAGTGGAAAGATGGTAAAATTCATAGTACATTACTGGTGAGTTGAGTGGGATGAGCTTTTACTAATAATATCTAACTGGCTGTCTTTTGGGTTGGATTTCACAAGTCTCATGTGGACTGGCAGATGAGGGTAGTGGTGGAACTTGTGAATTGCAGTTATTTTTACCCTACCGTTTAACCTAAATAAGAAATAAGGAGTATTTATTTAATATGAATATGTGGATGCCATAAAGGGCCTCACAGAGGTGAGTGTGTGTATAAACCTATACATGTATGCATATGCTTCTTGCACTTACTGTGGGTGGGTATGTGGGGCTGCCAAATTCAATGTACTGTGGCAGCTGTCAAGGTCTCTGGCTGTGGTGCTGAAAACACATTGTGCTTTCAGTCAGACATGATCCTAAAGCTCTCCATTATGGGCATTTCTGTTCTTAAGGCCTTGTCATACAACATGTTTTATTGGGGCAGGAGTTCCCAGTTGGAGGAAACAGATTTGAACGTGCTGTGAGCTGTTTCTGTTCCAAGGAAGGACTGTAAAGTTAGCAGAGGTGCAGCAAACTGCTTTTGAATTGAGCTCTTTGAAGTGAAGATTTGGGTGCAGTGGTTTCTGCTGTACTTGGCTAGGATGGGTGGTATAACCCCGGGGAGGACCTTGTGGCTTTGCCAAGAGTGTGTGGAGGAGAAAAGGGGCAGGTATCCTGCAAAGCCTGCCTGCATCTGAAAGTGCATCAGAAATCTGATGCTGTCCCACAAACCCACCTGCATCAGTCCGAGGGAGCCCTGGGCCAGTCCCAGGACACACAGGACTCAGCTTCTGGGCTGGGAGAACTGAAGCCTATTGCAATCACAGTCCCCAGTGAGCTCAGCTCCCATGAGGATCCAGCCCAGAGCCTCCTCCTCCTGCCCACTGGACATCCCACCCTGCCTCAGCACCTGCAAGTGGCTGTGAAATCCCTCTGCCCCGGGAATGAATTCTTCCAATAGTTATTTGCCTTCAGGCTTCCAAATCTGTATTGTTTCTGGCCTGAATTGGATTTATTTTAGGCTATAGCTATTGAAAGCCTGCTGAAGAGCAGGAAGTGGGTCCCAAAGGGACCCCCAGGACCTTGTGCTTCTTATATCCTAGGGCATGGACGCGTGCAGGGTTCATGTCTGCTCTGCAGGGCTTTAACCACAGTGTGGTACCAGGCTCTGCTCCCAGCATCGTGGCTTCTCCTTGCCTGGTATCCCTCAGCCTGGTCCCCACTTAACCAGGGGTGAATAAACCCAGTGGGCATGAGATCCTGGCCTCGGGAGACATGGAGGCACTGTGGAGGATGAAGGGAAGAGGGAGAACATGGCAGTGACAAAGAGATTGCTCTGAGGGCTTTTTAGTCTCTGCAAGAAAACTGGAGCTGAGAGCAGGTGTAGGGTGTGGAGGGAAGGCAAAAGAGGCAAAAAGCCTCCAATAAATCCTTGAGACAGAGAGGGGGCCTTCATGTAAGGAAGAGGAAAAGGCAGGGGAGAGCTGCAGCTGGAGCTCCCCTTCCTGCCCCCCTGCCTGCCTCCCCGAGCCCCCCTGCCTGCCACTGGCCAGGTGTCCTCACTCTGCTGCCGAAAAGCTGGTGCCATCTATTTGCTCATCGCAGTCACGTTTGTTTGGGTGTCTGCACCTCCCCGGGAGGCGGCTCTGGCAAAAGCAGGGACCTCACAGCCCGTGGGGCCGGCAGGAGTGGGCAGCGGGAGCTGCACCCTGAGCCCTTGCCTGCTGGCTGCCTGCACCCCGGGGCTCAGCACAACTCTGCACGAAGAACCACCGGGCAGGTCTCCTGCTCGCTGCCCTGCTTGGGAGAGAAGGAGGGGGAGGAGGGGAGGGAGGCAATAAGGGACTTGCTGCGTCGCCTCCTTTCTGTACCCTGCGCGCAGCTGGCGGGGCGAGCGGTGCGTGCAGCCGCTGCCGGGGGAGCTGCCGCTGCTGCTGCTGCTGCAGTCTGGGCGCGGAGCTGCCGGAGACCGGGCGTCAGGGGAGCTGTGGCTGTTTACCGCCTGGTGACAAGTGTTGCAATGCAAAAGCCGAACGCGTCCGTGGAGGGGAAGCTGCGCTGGCAACAGCACCTGTAAGGAGCGGAGGGGAGGAGGCTGCCAGAGGCGTTCGGCAGCCCTCAGCCAAGGCTCCAGGCACCGGCACCTCCTTCTGAGTGTCTCCATCGCTGTTTGCTTTGGATCTCTTCTTAAGGGAGAAGAGGAAAAAGGATCCAGAAAACCCCTGCAACAGGACAGCCCCTGCTGGAGTCTAACAGGTGTTTGCTGGGATTTGAATGGGGAGGGGACGGGTGGGGAGAAAAGTTAACTGGAGAAATTTGGGCTAGGAGAGATGCAATGATCTTGCACCAAGTGGATGTCTGCATGTGAATAGTGCATCTGGAGAAGCTCGGAGGGATGTCTGGCAAGCGATCAGCTCCGTCTCCGTAGAAACGCTCACCTCTGCCTGCAGCTTCCCCTGCCAGAAGTTGGAAGGAATAAAAAAGAAAAAAATCAAAAGGGGAAGAAAAAAAAGGGGAAGATCTCAGCGGACAGAAACACTTGAGCTAAACTGTTGCTTCTCGACCCAGGGCTGCGGTGTGAGCGTCCCACCGGTGTCCCCTGGGCTGCCCAGCCGAGTGGCGGTGGGTGGCGGTGGGCGCGGGGCCCGCGGTGTCCCAGGGCAGGCCCAGTACCATGCTGGCTGTGGCACCCGCGCCCGGCCAGCACAGCCCCCGTGCCTGAGCCGCCCGCGCTGCCCGGGCCGTG